TTTTTTTTTTTTTAGAGAAGTTTTCCATTTTTGTGAAGAACTCCCGATGAAGATGAATCTCAGGAACTTTGGCAGGTGCCTTTCCTTCTCTTATGTATCCCCACCCCACTTTTCTTTCCATGAAGGATCTGAGAAGAGTGAAAAAGCCTTAAAGGGGAAAAAGAAATGAGATTTGAAAGTCCTCATGTTAACAAAGCCTTTGTAAACTGAGCACATTCAAACCTGGCTGGCCTCTGCCCTCCTGCTGTGCCGGGCACAAGCCAGCTGACTTGTCTCTAACGTTTTTGACTCTCTGTGACAGGTGCGCCCAGGCAGAGAGTGGGTCCCAGGAGGGTCTGGAAGACAGCCTGTGGGTAAATACAGGAGACAAGCAGCCATGGAAGATGATTTCTCCAAGTGTGGTCTCTAGTCCCCTAGCGTCTGATTCATCTGGGGCCCTTGCTTAAAATGCCGATTTCCACACCCTTCCTCCACCTTCTGAGCCAGAATCTGCATTTTTAAACTAGGTCCCCTGGTGATTCCAAAGTAATGGAAAGAACATAGGATTGAGAGCCAGAAGATCATATCACCTCCATGGGCCTCAGTTTCTCATCTGTAAAATGGAAACAATATCTCTTCCCCAGAATAGGAAGAAGTGGATGAAAATACATTCAAAACTCTGATGTAAAGAGGCATATATAAATGATCACTGAAGAAGAAAATTGTCACTTGTTTTGGGATACACTCATGGCACATCTCATCCAGCTGTGATTCAGACGTTGATTCTATACTTTCCAGCAGCTCAGCATCTTTGGATGTATCTGCAATTCTCATAGAAATTTGAGAAGACACATGGGCTAGAAGTCTGGCTTTTCTTGCCTTGGATAGATAGCTGCATGTCAGAGCCTATTTCTAGGTCCAGTTCTGCCTCTTCATCAGGGAGGGGATTTAGCCTCTGGGCTGGTGGATCTGGGCCCAAGCTGGCAGTAAGCACTGAGTCCTGCTGCTTACCTGGCCAGGAATCAATAGGAGGGCATTGCCTGAAATCCCACCACCCCCAGGAGCTGCTGTCAGCTGAAATTCATTAACTATGCTAATGAGCATCCTCGAGCTCAGAAATGGAAAGTTTACAAATGGCCTGAAGGTCATCTTCAGTGGGCACAAGAACCACCTGGGGAGTGGTTCAGGTGATTCTGATGCAGTGGTTCCCCACAATCCATGGAGAAAGACAGCTCTCCTTCTGAGTGGTTGAATGGTGCCCTCTGAGGGTCCTGTCGGAGGGGGAAAGAGCTTCCTCGATGCCTCCCAGCTGTTGCTGGAACGGATCCCTAGCAAACCTGCCCTTCCACAGTCTCCCTGTCTCAGGCGATGGCAGCTCACCAAGGTGTGAACGTCACCGTGGGCTTCTGTCTTTCCTCTCACCTTCTCCCCATTTCTTCTCCCTTTCTGCGCTCCATCCAACCCATCAGCAAACCCCGTTGGCCCCATCTTCAAAACACTCCGTGTTTGTGCCCTTCTCTCCACCAGATCTTCCAGCTGCCAGGGCACACACTCATTGGCTCGTTCCTGAAGTATGGCAGGTCAGATCTTGTCACTCTCCTGCTCAGGATGCCCTTCTCACTCAGACTAAAGCTCAGCTCCTTCCTATGGGGGCCCTTTGACAACTGGCCAGTACCTCCCCGGCCTTCTCTCACTGCCCCTGTTCCTCCCACGTGCCCCTTGTGTCCTGCCTGCAGTGCCCCTGCCTCCGGGCCTCTGTCCAGAGGTCACCTTCTCCCAAGGTCCTCCTTGATCCTGATGTTTAAAAGAGCGAAGTCCGCACCCCCACTCCCAGCCCTCTTGACCTTCCCGGACTTAAGATTCTGCACAGCTCGTAACAACCATCTCTGTACTAAGTATTTGAGCTGTTTGTTCAGTGCTGCCTAGAAGAATGTAAGCTTCAGGACGGCGTGTTTGTCTGCTGTATCCTTAATTCCTAGATCAGAGCCAGGCCCATAGTGAGTGCTCACATTATTTGTTGAATTAATAAATGAAAAAAAAGTGCAACAGGCATTTCTTTACCTTTCGCCTGACAAGCTGATACTGTATCCAGTGTGTGCATCTGTGTGCACGCCTGTGTGACGGCAGGCATACCAAGGGATCCTAAGGGGAGCCTGTGTTTGCTCCTTTTGGGAGCGAACTCCACCTCTTTCCCTGTGCAGCTGTCACGGGGCTGGAAGGCTGAGCTTCTATTTGTGGCCCAATAACCTCCATCCTGTGAATGCAGTAGTCTCCAAAAAAACTGCATACAAATATCCCTGAACCAGTTTACCAATAACCCGTCCTAATTATAGTTTGTCTCATAATGGCCTTTCATGGGACCCTACCCATTATTATTATTATTTTTTTTTAGAAAATTGCAGTCTGGGGGGTGCCTGAGAGGCTCAGTGAGTTAAGCATTCGACTCTTAATATCTGCTGGGGTCTCGCTTGGGTCATGATCTCAGAGCTGGTGCCCCCTCCCGCTCCCCCACTCGCACTCACAAATCAGCTTAAAAAGAAAAATGCAGTCAGTGTGCCAGTCTGGTTAAACTTTTCCACAGTTGCCTTTGTAAGTTGCTGGCTGCATTGCTGAGCACCTCTCCTTTTACCCATAGGAGAGCCATGCCTGCGCCTTGCTTTTTAGTTTAATGAACCTCAGCTCTCCAAATCTGCAGTCCTCCTGCATCCCATCTCTCCCTGTGTGATGACCCACTCTTGTAAGAGGGATTGGGTGCCAGAACAGGTCTTCACCAGAGAAAGAGAGGGAATACAAGACAGACCCGCTTTTTCTTTAATCCGGGAGAACACTGTTTAGGGTTTGGTTTTATTTTTACCCGATTTAACCTGAATATGACTACTCTTTAGACCTGTGTCACATTGCTTTTCTACCTTGGTCCTCTGAAGTACGTTCAGGAAAAAATGTGATTTCTGGCAATGGAGGTGTGAGAAGGGGTGTCACCCTGATTTTAGAGAGCATTTCTGTGGTTTGCACAGAGCCACCTGAGCCACAGTCAAGGTTGACTTCTAGAGGTTGGGGTCCTCCTGCCGTTCCCCCCCACCCCGTGTCCCTCCCACCTTGTTCCAGAGGAGAGTCCTGATGGCAGCCGTGCCCTGAGCACTTGCCAGTGTGCCAATCCCTCCAGGAACTGCTTCTTTACACTTAGCTGTCACCTTTGGAGCCAGAGAAACCCAGGCTGACAAGTTACTTTTTGTTTTACTCAAACTGGGTCCTAACCTCTTAAATCAATGGATGGTGATGACATCGTTTTCTTCACAGCAGCCTCTATAATACCCAATCTAGATTTTGGGGTGGGGTGGGGAGAGGGGAGTTTGGAGGGGGTTGTGAGTTCTATGTCCCTGTCCTAGTCAAAAAAAAAAAAAAAAACCCTGTTCAGGATTATGCCTAAATGTCTATGTTTATCAAACTGGAATTTCTCATCTGTGTCATCAAGGCCCTAAATACCAAGTCTTGAGTCACTGACTTCATTCTCACCATGTTCCCAGATATTTCACTTGAGTCCAGTCACCTGCCCTGCCAACCCTCAGCCTGCTGCTTTCTCAAGAGTCTGTAAGCAGCGGTCAAGTACGGCCCAGAAGTTAATGCTCCTGCCGCTGCCGCCACCTCTTACCTGTGCTCTTTTCCACAACACACCGTAATCCCCGTCCGGATCATCCCAGCTCTCCTTCCATCAGGCCCGATTTATAACGTGTGCCTCAAATCTTACTTGCTGAAGCCTAGGCTGATCAACCCCAAGCAGCTGATCAGATCCTTAACCCAGCTGTCATGGCCTATGTACTTGGCTTCCACTGCAGTCCAGCTGGAGCCAGACATCCAGGGTTCAAGTCCTATGGCCTGTGTGACTTCAGGAAATTCACTTTAATCTTTAGCTTGTTTATCTGCAGAACAGGGATCAAAACAGTCCCTGCTTTTGTGCAAATTGAAGGTGTTAATAAAGTACATAGAGTGGTATCTGCCATAGAGGAATGGCTATTTAAATGGTAACTTTGGGGGCGCCTGGGTGGCTCAGTCAGTTAAGCGACCGACTTCGGCTCAGGTCATGATCTCATGGTCCGTGAGTTCGAGCCTCGCGTCGGGCTCTGTGCTGACAGCTTAGAGCCTGGAGCCTGTTTCGGATTCTGTGTCTCCCTCTCTCTGACCCTCCCCCGTTCATGCTCTGTCTCTCTCTGTCTCAAAAATAAATAAACGTTGAAAAAAATTTTAAATGGTAACTTTGCTCTCTTTTTACCTGTGGATACAAGTCTCTGCCTGGCTATGTTTACTTACCTGGGGTACATCTCCCCTCCTTCGGTTCCTTTGTTTGCTCTTCTTCCCTGGAGTAGTGTGCACATGTTAATCTTTCCATTTTTTCCTTACCCTTCAGTTTCCTCCTTCTCAGACCTAGGTTCGGAGCACAGCTGCCACCTAGGTTTGCCTAGGAGTAGGGAATCCGTCTTCCTCCGGAGCTGGCACCCCACAGCGGCAGAGTCCAGCGCTGGAGTTCCGTGCGTCCCTGCTTGTCAGCGCTCCCCGAGTCTCCACCCAACTCCTAACCCTCCCGCCCCATGTGAAGGCCAGGTGTGCGCAGCCACTTTGCCTCCTGGTGGCCACGCTCGGGCTTAACGTCATCCCTGGTGTCTGGAGAGAGCCCTCTCTTCTCTATTAGCTCCCCCCCACCAACCACACCCCACTCTCTTGGCCATTTCCTATATGGAAATGGAATCTGCTCCAATTCCTTTGTTTCTCTCACTTTTTTTTTTTTAACATTTATTTATTTTGAGGGGGCATGGGGGGGAGGGACCGAGAGGGAGAGAGAGAGAATCCCAAACAGGCTCTGCACTGCCAACGCAGAGCTTGACGTGGGGCTCGAACTCAAACCATGAGATGATGACCTGAGGCGAAACCAAGAGTGGGATGCTTAACCGACTGAGCCACCCAGGTACCCCTGATGGCCCTCTTTTTTTAATGGGCAGAATAAGTGGAAGATGGAAGGAGCCACTACTGGTCCACTGTGGTTTCCTAGAAGAGCTGTAATCGTGGCCCCCTCTCTCCTACTGCATAGCAATCTCGCTTGTGCCATAGCCGCCACCAGAAACCCCACAAAGGCACAGGGCATTTAACAGCTGAATCCTTTCCTTCCCCCTCCTCCCTTCCTCTCCATACATTCTCCTTCGGGGTGGGTGTGTTCTTTAAGGCCCTTCTCTATCAGAAGAAAACCTACCTCTCTGGGCAGATGAGACAAGCTGCAGGGTATTCTCTTTAGGTACAGGATCCCCTAGAAGCAAAGAGTGCTTGGACCTAAGACCACATTTGTTATTTCTCTTTTCAGTCTTCCTCTCTCTCCAGGTCGTTACTCTCAGGTTGAGTCACATAAAATTGCTGCTATTTGACCATTTTAGACCCACAAAATGGCAGTTTTGTACAGTTCGGCCTCACGCGTACTTACTGGTTGGCTTTTGTGTTCTGCGCTCACCCCACAGTGCTGCGGCCTCCCCGGAGTTCACCAGCTTTGCGGTGAGCCCAGATGGGAGCAGTCCGTGGTACTTCTTGCCAGAAGACAAAGCAAGTTAATTCCCCTGGGTTGAATGTTGTTCCTGTCTCTTAAACATCAAAAACCCATTTGTTTATTACAAGCTAAACTGATTTTATGGAGCAGATGTGGTGTCCACGATGAAGCTTGGCAGGAACGATGCTGGAATCACTTAGTCCTTGTAATGCGAATTTGTTTTGACTTTCCAGTCTTCACGTATAATGCTGCCGACAAGGAAACCTGCGAACGCAACCACGGACAGTGCTCCCCACACGCCTTCTGCACTGACTACACAACTGGCTTTTGCTGCCACTGCCAGTCCAGGTTTTACGGAAATGGGAAGCACTGTCTGCCAGAAGGTAAGAGATGCTGGCTTGACGGGGCTGGGGGCTGCTCTGTGCAGATTTTTGCCACTTGCTTGTTTCCAGCCGCCGCTGTGACTCTGCTTATGGACCTCGAATCTCCGACTGCCTGAATCAAAGCACCGGCAACTGGCAGGTGCTTGATCGAGAGAAATGAGCGCATTTGGGCTGGTTTCCCAATTTGAGGATTAGCCAGAAATCTTTCCTCCTTTTTGCCAGCTCATTAGAGTCAGAGTGGATGGGAGAGTGGATGGGAGAAAATAAATCGAAGACGGGTCTGTTTTGTACTTAGATGGATAATGGGTTGGTTAGGAATCATGAAAATGGCTAAAAGACTGAGTTTTGGGAATTGTGAGCGGAATTACTTTCTGGGTACCCATCCCCAACCTGGACCGTGGTCACAGTTGACCGGATCTGCTGTCTTTCAGGGGTACCGCATCGAGTCAACGGGAAAGTGAGTGGCCACCTCCGCGTGGGCCACACGCCCGTCCGCTTCACTGACGTGGACCTACATGCTTACATCGTGGGCAATGACGGCAGAGCCTACACGGCCATCAGCCACATCCCACAGCCCGCGGCCCAAGCCCTTCTCCCGCTCACGCCAATCGGAGGCCTATTTGGCTGGCTCTTTGCCTTAGAAAAACCAGGCTGGGAGAATGGTTTCCGTCTCACAGGTGAGCAGCAGTGCCCTTTGAGGGGGCTGATGGCTCCTGGCCACCATGCTTTGGTTTTTATTCTGTGAAAGAGGATCTGTTTGCTCAGTTTTCTACAGGTGTGTAGCTGGGCCTGGTTTGGTCTCACGGGACTGTTTTCTTCCACATGTTCTCCAAGTCATCCTGAGAAATGGGATGATTCCATTTGGACCATTTATGTCCTTTCACCAGAATTGCTTGAAGCTTGTTTGTTAGCTTGTGTTTACTTGAGTTGTTACACACAGATCTGACAAACAGAGATGCACAAATGGTGATTACAGGGCATCTGGAGAGGAGTTTGCTCGTGAGTAAACTTCCTCCTCTCCCACCCCCGCGACTCTGACCCATAATGGTACCGACCGGTGATTGCCTCTCACACTCTAACCTGCACACAGATCACCTGTAGCTCTTGTGAAAAGGCAGATTCTGGCTCTGTGGGCCTGGGCTGGGGTCTGTGATTCTGTTTTCCTAGCAAGCTTCCAGGAGACGCAAATGCTGGTCTAAGGACCACCTTAGGTGGTGTAGAGGATCTTTTTTTTTTTGGCTCTTTCCTCCCAACCTGAAAAGGCCGGTTTCCTACTGGATTTATCACAGATCAAGTGCTGAGAGAAAAGTTCTTCCCGCACCTCCAGAGCTATCTTGTTTTCCATCAAGGTTTGGAGTTACAAGTAGGTGGAGTATATTCCGTCACATTTGAATTTCAGGTGAACCATGAATTATGTGAATAACTTAGTAAAAGTATGCCCTAAATATTGTAGAAGACATATTATACTAAAAACATATTATCTGAAATTCAAATTTAACTGGGTGTCCTAAGATTTTTTTGCTTGTTTTTCTACTAAGTCTGGCAACCTCAGAAAGAGAAAGGTCAGGATGTTCCTAGTAGCTTCTTACGGAAAACAAGCTGTTACAAAGAGAAGCAGCGTGAAATGAGGCAGGATGAAACCACACTGTTTAGTAGAAACTTGGGGGAACTGATGAAATCGGCAGCTGATGGTACTTAGTCTTGGATATCAGATGGTCTCCGTAGGCGCCGTCTCCAACAGCAGTAGGAATGAGGAAATGCACAGCGGTGATCGTTACTGGCGGACGCAACACCCCTTCTTAGCTCCGTGCTGAAGTCTTTCTTCCTCTCCAGGTGCCACCTTTACCCATGACATGGAAGTTATTTTCTATCCGGGGGAAGAGAGGGTTCGCATCACTCAAACTGCTGAGGGACTTGACCCAGAGAACTATCTGAGCATTAAGACCAACATTCAAGGCCAGGTGCCTTACATCCCAGCAAATTTCACAGCCCACATAGCGCCCTACAAGGAGCTTTACCACTACACGGACTCAGGTATGTGTAACCCGTTTTGACATCTATAGAATGGGGAGAGTGCATATCTCCCAAGATAGTTGTGAGGATGATGAGTTTTTATGTGGGATGTCCTTAGAATGGTGTGTGGTACATAAAAGGAGCTCAATATCGTTTTAGTGCTCTTACTAAATGTGTAGTGTAAGTGTTGGCTGCTACACAAATGAATACTAACATTCCTATCCCAGTACTTTCAAATAATGATGGAATCAATGGTAACCTTGTTTCTGGGGGTGGGTTAGGGTTGTATAATTATATACCGTTTTTAACCACCTGTGCTCTCTGGGCCACGGAAAAATATTGACTATTGGAATTTTTACTTGTCCTGTAACATTGTTTCAGCCCGTTTTAAAATGAGGTGTTACACAGTGTTGTACAACTAATGCTAGGTTTGGAGTCAGAGGATAGGAATTCACATCATGGACTTGTAGTTTAAACTAGCTGAGGGCTACTGCTAGGAATTTACCCAAGGGATACAGGAG